TCTTCACCCGAACTATGTATTTCAACACATATGTATTTCAATCAATTTTATTGTCGGGGCTGGTCACAGGAGCAACGCGTGTTTCCTTTCCTTTCAATCTCCTTGCAAGGAGATCACTCAATTGGCCAAAAAGGATGGAACGCAGCCACATTGGGGCCTTCAAGTTTGAAGGCGATTCGTTTTCACGCGCAGCGTCAGACGGCTTGGGCCTTTATGCTGCCTTGAGATCTTATATGTTTGAATTGGGTGTTCATTCTGAAGGAGGCCCTGACGCCGATGTGGCCAAAAGTTTTTTGACGTTGATGGATTTGATTGAACTGTTGCATATGTCAATGAGAGATGCCGTGGACGCTGGTCGGTTGGAAACTTTGACCCAAACATATTTGAAGAGGTTTGTGAAGGCCCATGGGCACGAACCTGTCGTCCCCAAGCATCACCTGATGCTTCATTTGGGGAAGTGCCTGAGGGATCAGAAATTTATCCTCAGCTGCTTCTGCCACGAGAGACGGCGCAAGGAGATAAAGAGGTATGGAGACAATTGACGCAATACTGGACCATGGTTTGACAGAAAAACTTTGGAGGAACTTCGGCAGCAACGGTATGTCATATGTTTTTAATTGACGCGTATATATACATATGTCCTTTTGGTGTTCCACACAAAACAAATTGTTGATTTGTTTGGTTTTATGAGGTTTTGCGTATACTTTGACCATCTGTTGGCTTACGTGTTCTTTGGGGTTCCACGCGAACCATTCATTTTGCACCCAAGCACAGGAGATCACGCTATCGCAGCTGCAGAAGCTCCAAGCTCTTGACCCTTTACAAGACACCGTGTGCTACTTGGAGCCACCTCTGCAAGCGGCTCCTGCAAACGCGGGTTTTGAGTCCACGTCGAGAACTGCAGTTGTTATTTCCGGTGCGTATTGCATGCCTGGAGACGTGGTCTTGTTCGAGGATGCTACGGATGGTCAAGTCAACTTTGGCAAAGTTGAGATGGTAAGGCTTTCGCGCGCGTGTCGGTGTGGCCAGCGTCAGGGGTGAATGAACTGCGTCCTGACAAGAGTCAGAAGTGGTATCCAACAACATGCGTGAATGGCTGCCTCATTTGGCAAACTTTGCCAAGCGGAGTCGTAAAGATTGCGCCTCAAAAAATTTAACGGAAATCTTCGACCTGTTTGCCGAAAGGAGTTGCTTCTGGCAACATCAGAGGAATGAAGTTGTTTGCTTTGTTTCACGCAATCCTCGACCTGTTTGCTGGAAGGAGTTGCTCCTGGCAACATCAGAGGATTGAAACTTTTGACGGACATGTTAAATGCGCGGGCGCGACTTGTGGAATTACTATATAGCTCTTCTCACAGCAAGAGGGAGGGAACCAGAGGGCTGAAGAGGAACCAAACCTGAGGACGCAGAGGGCTGAAGACACCACGAATCCGGAGCCCGAATGCATATATACGTATATATATATACATATATACAAATGGTTTGAACCACACCTGTATATCCAACCATACGATGGAATGGCGCGAAGCTTTCAATGGCGCGAAGCGTTCAACCAAAACATTGAAAAGTCGATACTGGTCTATCAAAAGCCACAGCGGATATTGATTTCATGCACTCACTTCAATGCTCCGGGATGGGATACAGAGGCAATATATAGAACACTTGCACGGAACCAGGCAATTTGTTTGGTTTTGGGTGATCTTTCTTGCCATCCACCCTTCAGGGTATATACCGTTCCAACCTGCTCATCCATTATAGTTCCATCTCACCGAGCACACCCCGCGTCGTTCCGCTTGAGCGCACTTGCCACGCTGCCGAGTTATATCCAACGCAGACGTGACGGAGACAGGTGTTTGGACATTTGCGGCGACCGGGAAATTCATCCATGCCAGATTCTTCTACGCAGATGTGACCTATAAACATGTTTTGTATATATGTCTTTTCGTTTGTGTTTCTTGTTTGGTGCATGAGTTCACGTCATTGAAACCCTGGCGAGACATAATTGTGTGGTTCCTCAATTAAACATCGAAACGTATGTAGCGCTTCAATTGAATCGTCTGTCAGGAGAGGGTCCATGATTATAGGCTTCTGTTTGGTCGCAAGAAACGCGTTTTTTGGTCGCGCCATGAATTTAATGATCATTTTTGGGATCCCTGGGATGACTGTTCCTAATTGTTTATTTATATATAGGATGTTCCTAGCTGTTGGGTCTCTATATATAATCATTCTAGATTTCCAGATAAACACAACAAACCGAAATGCCAAGCCCTGCCAACCAGTTTGCAGTGATTTGTTTCATCCGTTGTTCCATCCCACCGAGCCGAGCACATCAGCGATAAACCGTGTCGTTCCCCTTGAGCGCACTTGCCAGGCTGCCGAGTTATATCCATCGCAGGAATGGCGGATACAACGTGTGCCGGATACAAAAGTGTGCGGCGACCATCCATGCCAGATTCTTCTACGCAGATGTGATTGTGTTTATGTGTGTTTTTTTTTGTCTGTGTTTATGTGTCATTGAGACCCTTACGAGACACGTGTTCTAATTGTGTGGTAATGCAACAGTGTTTCCTTGCACCGGCTCGCTGACACAGGTGTAACAGGCAGTATAGGTGGATTCAGGGCATGGCATGACACCATTGATTGGTTTGTTGTATCGTCTTGTTTTATCTTGAAAACTCTAAGGTTTGATTATCTAACATCCGGAAGTGATTTTGCCTTTGCCATGTATCAATGTTGAACTGCGTCAGTGTTCAGTGAATTTCATCTGACATTTTTACAGCGCCCAGGCCAAATCCAACTCACGGGATGCGTATATATGGTTTCCTTTCATGCAGTACTCCATAGCCCAAATCCAACGTCGTATATTAGACTTTGGAGCTGGTTGCATGGATTAGCCTTCTGTTTGGGTAATCGACGTGGCATCATACTTTGCAAGAACCACATTTTGTGGTTGCACATGGTGGCGCATAAGCGCGCAGAGTTTAATATCGTTATTGTTGTTTGTTTTTTAAAGATCACTCTTCCTAACCTTTTTCTATATGTAGGATGCTTTATGGATCACTATTCCCAATATTTTCCACTGTATATGTACGTCTTTAAACTGCAATTCTTACTAACATTTTTTCTATATGTAGGATGTTCTTTTGGATCATTATTACTAACATTGTTTTCTATACGTAAGATGTTTTTTAAAACTGTATATGCACCGTGTTGTTTTTTGAACCACTCTTCCTAACATGTTTCTGTATGTGTTACTTTTTGTATCACTCTTCCTAACATTTTTTCTAATGTATATATTGCGCGATGCGCTTGTTTGTTTACGATCACTCTTCCTGACCGTTTTTCTATTTGTATTGTTTGGATCACTCTATATCTTATCGAAAATGCCAAGCCCTACTTGGATTTGGATATAGTACTTCCAATGGTTGTGTGTCATGCTCATGCAAGGGTCAAAAGCGTTGAATATACCCAAAACGCCACTGCAACAGTTGCGTTTCGGGTATATTCAACATACTCAACAGCCGAAAATATATTGGTGTTCCGCTTTTTGCTGAGGGATCCTATAACTTTTGTAGCTCTCACAATGTTTTCTTGATCTATGGTCATCGCAAAACAACCTTTTTATCTTAGTTTTCGTTCCACTATTGTTATGTTTTTGTTTTTTATTACAGTATCAGCACTTTTGGCGCGTTCTAAGTCCAACTTGTCGAACTTAGCCAAGTGTTTTTTTGAACGTGTTCTACTTAATTGCACTTAGCTATGTTGGACTAAGTTCGACCTAAGTACAACATTTTGAACATAGGCCACTTGGCTAAGTCCAGCTAAGTTCAACACTAGTTCAACACTAAGTCCGACTAAGTTCGACTTAGTATGTAGGCTATGTTGGTTAGTAAGTGCACTTATAAGCTGGACAACCAGGCTAACTACTTATAACCCCAACCGCACATCCAAGCACTCACTCACTCACTCACCCACTCACTCACCCACTCAGTCACTCACTCACTCACTCACTCCCTCACTCACTCACTCACCCACTCACTCACTCACTCACTCACTCACTCACTCACTCACTCATGAGTGTGAGTGAGAGTGAGAGTGAGTGAGAGTGTGAGTGTGAGTGTGAGTGTGAGAGTTGGAGTGAGAGAGTGAGAGAGTGAGAGAGTAGGTGAGTGAGTGAGTGAGTGAGTGAGTGAGCACTCACACTCACTCTCACTCTCACTCACTCACCACCACCGCCACCGTCACCACGATCCCCACCTTCATCACCACCATCACCTCTTTGGACCTCAATGCGTCTAGATTTTTAGACTTTCTGCTTGTAGACCTTGCGCACACTGTTTGGGGTCTCTTGCCGGGATAATTTTTTTTGAAGCACGCTTCAACGCCACACAAATGTTTGACCGAACCCTGCTTGCACTTTTCCATGGTGTCCCATCCCACGGCGAGCAAAATGAAATCACCTGCAACCCCGTGCGTCTGTGCGGCAAATAGATTGTCAACCCTGCTGCGCTGAGCAGATCAAGTTCTGAGAGTGTTGGATTTGGTCCGCGCAGACTGGTTTGTATGAGACCCGACCAGGACAATCATGAGCCTTTGAACACGCATGTTTGTGTTGAGGGTGCACTTTGTTTGTAGCAAGAAGCAGTGCAATGGCTGAAGCCCCCAAAAACATGGTTTTGCGCCCGCAGAGGCCCACTAGACCCCCTGAGTCCCCGAGTTTCACGAATCATTTGTGGGAAGAAGGCGGGTGTGAACGAGAAGAGAATGTGTTCAATTATCTATTTGTGTGAACCTGGGGCTTAGAGTAGAGGTCAGGCTCAGACGAAAAACTGCCAAGATGCTGTGGTGGTCCATGCTTTCTGCATCATTCTGCATCTTTACCGGGCGTTGTCATTGCAAAGATTGCTCGCTTGGAACGCCTCGAGATCTCCAGGTGTGTCGCCAAGACTCTTTGCCATGGATATGACAGAAACGCACCATAGCTGCAAAAGATTACAAGGTGATTGCATGTGGATAAAACACGCAATAATGTGGTTTAGTAAGTGGGTTAGAATTGCTGAAAGCGACCAAAGCGCTGGCTTGAAGACAACAAAACTTGCACTTTTGCTTCAGCCTTTTTGAGTGGCTCCATTCCTGATACTGTAAAGAATCTAAACATGTCTACTCTCTCGCTCCATGGCCCGTTCTTTGCTCTTCTCTGTTTGGTGACCGTGGATTGTGGAGACGGAAAGCGCCATGTGGCTGAAACCGAAAACGAGGCACTCATCCAGGTCAGCAGGTTTGTTTCCAACGCAAGTCAGTCATGGAGAAGCACACAGGATTTGGCAAGTGTTTCTCTGTCACAGCGGATGGAGGTTTACACGGATGAGATAGACTTCGAGCTGCAGTTCTTGAGTGCTGTGCCTGTCTTTACGGACCAGGACAACTACATTGCCTTGATTCACAACAATACTGCTGCCCTCCAGAAGTATGTGCAGAATCATAGTTTTTTCTGCACGGGACCAAACGGATCTCACAGAACCCAACTTCGTTTGTCCGCATCTTTGCGTGCAGAATTGTCGATCTTTGCTTGTGATTGGCCAAAAGAAGATGGAATGACCGGAGAGTATGATGTCTTTCTGGAACTTCCCAATGGAGAGATCATAGGACAAGTACATGCCAACTACAAGCCATCCTTACTGAAACAGTATGGGACGATGGCTTGTGTGCGAAATCTTTGGAACGATCCTGGTGCAAATGTTTCAGGCCTTGAAAGCTTTCCGCAGTGGCTTGACTATCACCGTATGCATGGAGTTCATCATTTCATCATTTACACAACAAGCGATATGTCACCAGCGCTGCAGGAAATGTACCAACCATACATCGATGAAGGAGTAGTGACCAGAGTTCACCTCGACGTGCCTGCAGAGAGATGCTGGTGCTATACTTGCGTCCAACAACTACTGATTCTCAATGATTGCCTCTACCGTGCAAAAGGCCATGCAAGATGGTTGCTGCCAAGCCTGGATGTAGATGAGTATTTGAGAGTGAATTTGCCAGCAGAAGATGTGACCCGCTTGATGGATGGCAGATCAGAGGGGAGACGTCCTGTGGCTAGCATTTTCTTCAAAAAGTTCCGCTTTGCAAGAGCCCCACCAGGGAGCTTGGACATATCATCTCCTCGGTATTCCAATATTCCCGAGGACAACGCTTACAAATATGCTGCCAACGTATCTCTGGTCAATGTCGTTTCAGTCCATCATCATCAGCCTGTAAAGGGCTTGGGCAAGATTCTCTATGAATCACCCACGGTTGCAGCGGTCAATCACTATCGCCATCCCCACCTCATAGAGACGCAGACATTCGCCTTTGCCAATTCATCTGACAACTCCTTGTTGGCCAAAGTTCCATTGCTGGAAGCATCATTGGAAAAGCGATACGGAGCAGGATGGAAAGGCTTTCTTGAGAGGATGCGCGCAGCACCGGAACTGACAAATTGGAGTTGTTCTGCATATAGCTTGAGCGCCAACGGCCCCCCAGTGTGGGAGAATGAGTAAGTCAATTTCCCACTCCTTCCAGAAGCCAAGGAGTGGTGAACGCTCTTTCTGCTGAAGACAACTTCGTTTTTTCAAGCCGGCTGCCGATGACGCGTCCATGTCGAGCGCCAAGCGAGCGAAATCCTCTCCCTCCACTTTGAGGTTGAGCCAGAGGAGACGCACACGCCGAGGGCAAAACGGCTGAGGGTTGAAGACCACTGCATTGCGGTTTGGGGGTGTTTTCATTGTGCCTGCTGTGCGGGTATCACTTGACGAGACGACTTCTGCAGATGCACGACAACTTCCTCCACGAAGACGAATTCCAACTCAAAGACGTTTCCGAAGACAAGTTCCCCGAAGACGAACTGCTCCCTGAAGATGATTCCCACCCTGAAGACGAATTCCCAAGACGAGGACGAATTGTCTCCAGAATTGTAAGGGCTTCGCCCTGAAGGACCTGCAGTGAAAGCTTAATGTAGAAACGAGGAGCAAGAACGCTAGTAACGTAGAAGCGAGGCGCGACGAGCGAGAATGCCTAACGTTGTCTGGCGCGTCGCCTTCGGGAGCCCATAAAGCAGTTGCGTGGCACGTCGCTTTCCATGCCCAGTGGTCTGGCCCAGTTGCCTGGCAGCTGAGGTGTGCGTATAAGGCAGAATGCAGCCGCAGCGGAGGGTTTCCGGGTGGGCATACGACACCATCTATTTCCACACCAAAAAGGGGCGAGCCGCACTTTTGACACACTTTTGATGCATTTTTGAGTTCTCGCAAAATTACTAAGAATGCATTATTTAGTAGTTTTATTTGGTATTTTTCAATTTTAATAACTTCAAGGGTTTAGTACATTTACTACTTCAGACGACTTAGGGTGGATGCCCACAGCACATGTGCCCCGGTCGGTTTCCTGCGACTTAGAGTTCAACGCAGCCACCAACTACAAGATGCACAGGGGAATCGTACCCCCACCGACAGTGCGAAAAGTGTTGAAATTCTCTTGCGCGACATTGATGGACGTGACGAGAAGTACTTCTCAAAGAGAATATGATCGTCAACTGAAAGGTGAATCAGCCCATACTTTGCTATGGAAGACTGATGGAACATGGTTGGGGGATCAGTGGCCGAGAGCAAATCATGGAGAATGGTGATTTGAAAGTACCACTCAACTTGCAAAATCGCTCTTTGACAGTTCAAGGCCGCATTGGAGTCATTCGAGATGAAGATGAGAATTGCTTAGAAGCGCAAGTACCTGAGGCTTTGGAAAGGGAAGCAGATTGGAGGTTCAATGAACGTGGACTGCTAGTTGGAAGTCTACTAACTTCAAAGTTTGTTGATCCCACAGTCATTCCAGAAGTGGAAGGTTCACCAGAAATGATGAGAACCGCCTTGGTGAAGAGAGGGGGTAGATGGCTAATGCCTAAATATTGTGAAAACACGATGAAAAAGGAGGAACTGGATGAACAGTTCTTTGATGATGATGATGCAATCATTCCTTCCATCACAATTTTCAGCTATGAGCCAGCGCCGCCAGAGGATATGGGATTTTTCGCGCCAGGCTATAAGTAAAAGAGACTTGAGAAGGAAGAGAAGGAAAGAGGAGGAGAAGGCAACCGAGAAGATTACGCCTGCTCCACCGGAGAAGGTGGTCGAAGACCAGAAAGAAGAGGATAAGAAAGAAGACTTAGAGTGTGAGTTGCAATTGGGCCCAAAGGACGTAGACAAAGTCTTGGTGAATGAGGTAGAATTGACTAGGGTTTCTACTTTGGCGACGTTGAGGGCACGGTGCTCATTTCTTGGCATCTCAGGTAGCGGCTCTAATTTGAAGGTCTACGCAAAGATCCTCAATCGCAACAAAAAGATGGAACTTCTGAACGCCAAAAGTTTGGTAAGTGAAGCAAGAGCTCAGGAGACTAGAGAAGCTCCAGGGCAAAGTGTGGCTAAGATTCCAGATGAACCTGTTCAAGCCAAGCGTGGATTGACGCGCCTACCATATGCCAATTGGTGTAAGGAGTGCATTGAGGATCGAGCGCGCCCAGATCGCCGTGAGAGGATAGATGGAACCAAGAGAGGAAGCGTCCCAGAGGTGAGCTTTGACTTTTGCTACACCAGAGGACGTGATTCAGAAACCACGTCAGCAAGAGCAGTATGTTGGCTAGTTGCAATTGACAGCCAGACTGGATTCATTCATGTTTTGCCATTAGGAAGCAAGAATCATTTTCATCTCATTGTGCAAGAGTTGATGAGTTTCAGTCAGACGTTGAGGTATTTAGCAATCACCTACAGGAGCGACAATGAGCCCAGGATGAGGCAAATCCTAAAGATGTTGATCAATCGTCGCAATCTAGGACTTACGACAAGATTGAATCCTTCGAAGCTTGGAGATCATTCAGTTCTGTCAGAGAACATGGTTGACGGAGTGAGGAAGCTTGCAGGAAGTTTCATTGAAGGCTTGCAGCCAAAGCTTGGTATCAAGGATCAGATCATGCACTGTGGACTTGGGGGCAGCAAGACATACCAGTTGGGTGTTGAATCGATTCAAGGGTGCCACTCCGCATGAGCTAGGCCTTGTAGCGGAATATGGAGAGCCAGTTCACGGTTACGCCAAAAGCCTCAATAAAGCCAAGATACCTATGTCTTGACAGATGGTGTCCAAGTAGTGCTGAGTAAACGCATCAGAGAATTGATCAAGATTGGCTCAAGCATTTGGCAATCTACAAAAGCTTCATTTCCTATTCACGCAAGCATCATCAGACAAACTTTGGAGGCAGAACCATTGCCAACAAGAGAAGAGCAGAAGCGTTGCCAATAGGACAAGCGGACATGCCCGGGAGCGTGTGATGTTGAAGTTCAGAGACGATGCTGAAACCGGTAATGGCAAAAGCTCTTGAAGTATGAAGTGGCTCAGAAGGAGAACCACTACTTCTGCCGGACCCAACCCCGGTTCCCGCGCCGCCAAAACTCCCGGGCGAGGCACTAAAACAGATGGAAGAGAGAAAGCCAAGTGGAGAGGAACCCCAAGTAAGGAGCAGAAAACTCTCGAGGAGATGAAAGCGGTCCCATCTACGCCAGTGCAAGCAAAAGATCAACCCAATCCAGATACTCCTATTTCATGTTCACTGAGGTTACCATCGGCGCCTTCGAGACCAAGGGAAGCATTTGGTCTGCTTGAGGAAGGGGTCCTATGAAGAAAATTAGGCCAGCAGACGGATGACTCAAGCAAAAAAGGCCAAGACCAACTTGGTGGAGGTGGCAGAAGACCGCCTATATCATGGCGACGAAGAACTATCTCCAGTTGCAGAAGAAGTTGATGAGGAGGATTGGGAAGAAGAAGGAGATGTGAAGGAACACGAAGAAGAGGAAGGACCAGCCAGAGGGCAGTAGAAGGTATCGGTCCCTAACTACAGGTGTAATGCGTATGATTGGAGAAAGAAGCCTTACCACCATGGGCATGGAACAACAAGCGAGAGGTGAAAGAGAAGGTCAAGGCTAGTTGCGCGAGAGCCTGCTTTCGCTGAAGGAGGACTTTTTCTCACCAGCGACTTGAGGTCACGTGGTGAAACTTCTACCTACAATCTTCTTGCAGAGAATAGAAGAAGCAAGAGAGGGAGAAGGAGCGCAGATGCTAGAGTGAAGGACGCATGCCTGCAAGTTCCACAAGAGAAGCCTTTGACAGTGAATTTGAGAGGAGAAGAATTCTTGGCGAAAAGGAACTTACCTGGACAGAGATTTGGAGCAAAAGCATGGTTTGACTTTTTCACAGGGCACTTCACCGAGGAACTCAATTACAAGTTCAGTGCTGAGTGTTCATGCCTTGGAAGAAATGAGAAGAGCATCATTTCGATTCATGTGGACGACTTGATTTTCACAGGTTGTTCAAAGCATATACATCAACGAGATCTTTCTTCCAAAGTTTCAAGACAGGTTTGACGCCAGCGTGAGTGAGATTGAGAAGATTGCGAGGAATTCAATTTCCCGAGGAGAAGGTACAAACTACAAACTGGAAAGAGATGGACTATGGACCCAACCAGGGAACTACATCCAACAGATGTTGACGGCGCACGAGGAGCAAGTTTGGTATGACGTGGCGTTTACTGTTAAGGAATTGGCTTCAAGCGTGTCAAACCCAACTATGTCCTTTCACCACTTCAAGAAATTCATAGGATACTTGAAGAAGACGATGGACAATTGTTTATATGGTGGTTAAATTTCCACAGGCGCAAGAAGCCGTGTGAAGAAAGGTGAACACTAGAGACATTCTCAGACTCAGACTGGAGCGAAACCAAAGCCATAGAAGATCGACGTCAGGAGGTTTCCATGCGTTGCCCATTATTCAACAGCAGTTGAAAACAGAACATCATTGGCTTATCTTCGTGTGAGGCAGAGTTGCGCGCAATAGTTTCCTCAGCTTCCCACGGCATATACAACCTTTCAGTTCTTGAGTTTGCGCTTGGGACAAAGGTGGACCACTATATCTTTACAGACTCTTCAAGTGCGCGCCAACTTCTGACAAGAGACCTCTACCTTTGTTTTCGACGACAGTTGCGCACCTCCACTTTCGTTCTTGACGAAGGTTGTACAGATTTTGATTTCGACGAAGGCCTTAGGCCACCTCCACCTTTGATTTCGACGACAGTTGCAGCGTAAGTTACACATGTGGAAACATCGCCCATCGTTTTCGACGACAGTTACGGCGACCTCCGCCTTCTTTCTTGCCCGCCTTCGTTTTCGACGACAGTTACGCGCCCGGGCAACCTCCACCGTCTCAAGCTTTCTGTCTATAGTGCTCTGACTCAGGCCGTTTCAACTGCCAAGACAATCTGTTCAAGAGTGATCGAGCGCTTTTCGGCAAAAATCTTAGGTTTGGCAACCGCATCTTCAGGAGTTGCCACGAGATGTTCCAGGAGCGCCACACGCTTGTGCGCTGGCATCGTGGAGTTTAACTTAATTTGTGGAGGCGATGAGGAGCAAGGATCAAGAACACCCCACTCCGCTACCACGAACTTGCGTCCACGCCCCATGCCCGTCATGTGTCGTTGAAGTGCGCCGCCAGGGGGAAATGCCTTGTCAGGAATGTGTCGCGTAGCGCGTCGCGGCTGTTTGCCAGGACATGTGTCGCCAGAATTGCGTTGTCAGCATCATCATTGAAAGTCATACCCCAAATGCGGGTGGTGTTGGTTCTCTTTTTCAGCGGCCTTTGGGGGTTACGCCAGTTCGCAGCAAACTCAAAGGTATGGGAACTGAGCCCACCTTGTTTCCATTGATCATTGTCCACCTCCGCCTGTACCCGCTTGAAGTTGTGGCCTGGAATTTAGATCCCATGTTTTGGATTGGACTGTGCGTGTGAGCGTTTTGTTCAATTCTTGTTGGGGTGGTGTGGTTGCAATGTCCACTTCCAAAGGTGCAGGCAACCGTCGGAGATGCCATGTTCCAGGCAGGAAAGACAAAGTACAGTGGGCGGCGGAGTTGGAACCTCCAGTTCTTCACAGTTTTCACTGCAGGAACCTTCAACTTGACGAAAACTGACTGGCGCACTGTTTCTTGAAAGGGTTGGCCTTGGGCAATTGCACCACGCCCGGCAGTTGGGACTTTGTGCGGTTTGAGGCAGGATTCCGGGTTTGGTTTGTTGACTTTGCAACTAACCTTCGTTGCAAGAACCCACCATCAAAAAGAATCTGCGCCGTCAGCCATAAGCAGGCCGTCAGTCGTGAGCGGTTCATTTTCAGATGCAAGCGGGATCACAGGATTTTGAAGAATTATTTTCACGATCGGTTGATGCCCTTGCACATAAGCATGATTCAAGTTCATTTCTTTGGGTCAGTTTGATATTAATGAGAGTGGAGTCATGGAAGTGCAGATGGCAGAGGACAAGACTTTGATACCCTTGTGACGATGGCTGTGGAGGTGCAATGTTTGGCGCGCAGTATCGGCTGCAATGTCGGCAAGCTGAGGACACGTATTTCGTGAGAGAGAAAGTGTCTGAACACGTATGACGTGGATTTCGCCGGAGTCAGTATTGTTTTGCCACGTATGAGAACGGATTAGCTGGAGGAACCCCTTCAAGGTAACCCTAAGTTTGCCGTTTCGTTTCAGTAGCGGGTCGTTACGGTTAAGCAACGTTGACTCATTGAACTTGGATTACAAAGTGTTGACAGTGTTGCGCTTTCGCTCACGCTTGCGCCAGGTTTGTAGCTGTCGTGATGGCTGATCCCCGACGTAAGAACATTGCTTTGCGCACGCAGAGGCCAACGTTTTCTGAGGAAATTGAAAGGTTTTCTTTCATGCTGGAGCGTTTGCGAAGGGTTCTTCAGTCAGTAGAAACGGTTTGCGCTACAGATCTGCTTGCTCTTCTATATGGGGAAGGACCACACTTGCGACTTGTACATCTGCAGTTTGTAGGCGCGCCGCAAATATGTCTGCAGGTTGCGGTTTGTTAGATCAGAAAACACACCTGCAAACTGGCTCATGTGACTTTCGCAGGGATTTTTCTGCAGCAAAAAGAATGCCTCTTTTCTTTGGATCTCGCGCACCCAAACATGGAGACGACCGGACAATAGAAACGCACCATGGCTGCAAGAGATTACAAGGGGATTTCCAGGTTTGCACTCGGATAAAACAATGTGGGTTTATTATTGAGTAGATTAAACATGCTGAGAGCAGAGCGACCAAAGCGCTGGCTTGAAGACAACAAAACTTGCACTTTTGCTTCAGCCTTTTTGAGTGGCTCCATTCTTGATACTGTAAAGAATCTAAACATGTCTACTCTCTCGCTCCATGGCCCGTTCTTTGCTCTTCTCTGTTTGGTGACCGTGGATTGTGGAGACGGAAAGCGCCATGTGGCTGAAACCGAAAACGAGGCACTCATCCAGGTCAGCAGGTTTGTTTCCAACACAAGTCAGTCATGGAGAAGCACACGGGATTTGGCAAGTGTTTCTCTGTCACAGCGGATGGAGGTTTACACGGATGAGATAGACTTCGAGCTGCAGTTCTTGAGTGCTGTGCCTGTCTTTACGGACCAGGACAACTACATTGCCTTGATTCACAACAATACTGCTGGCCTCCAGAAGTATGTGCAGAATCATAGTTTTTTCTGCACAGGACCAAACGGATCTCACAGAACCCAACTCCGTTTGTTTGCACCTTCGGATATATTGTCGATCTTTACTTGTGATTGGCCAAAAGAAGATGCAATGACCGGAGAGTATGATGTCTTTCTGGAACTTCCCAATGGAGATATCATAGGACAAGTACATGCCAACTACAAGCCATCCTTACTGAAGCAGTATGAGACGATGGCTTGCGTGCGAAATCTTTGGAACGATCCTGATGCAAATGTTTCAGGCCTCGAAAGCTTTCCGCAGTGGATTGAATATCACCTTATGCATGGAGTTCATCATTTCATCATTTACACAACAAGCGATATGTCACCAGCGCTGCAGGAAGTGTACCAACCATACATCGATGAAGGAGTAGTGACCAGAGTTCACCTCGACATGCCTGCAGACAAATGCTGGTGCTCACCTTGCGTCCAACAACGAATGGTTCTCAATGATTGCCTCTATCGGGCAAAAGGTCACGCAAGATGGTTGCTGCCAAGCCTGGATGTAGATGAGAGATGAGTATTTGAGAGTGAATTTGCCAGAACAAGATGTGACCTCCCTGATGGATGGCAGACAGGAGAAAGGTCCTTTGAGTACCATTTTCTTCAGAAAGCTCCGCTTTGCAAGAGCCCCAGCAGGGAGCTTGGACATATCATCTCCTCGGTATTGTAGTATCCCTGAGGACAAAGGCAAGAAATATGCTGCTAAAGTATCTTTAGTCGATCTCGTTTCAGTCCATCAGCCTATACAGGTCTCGGGCATGCGTGACGATGTTCCACTCACGGTTGCAGCGGTCAATCACTATCGCCATCCCAACGTCTTTGAGATACAGGATGATAAGCTTGCCAAGTTCTCTGACAACTCCTTGTTGGCGAAAGTTCCATCGCTGGAAGCAGCATTGGAAAAGCGATTCGGAGGAGGATGGAAAGGCTTTCTCGAGAGGATGCGCGCAGCACCGGAACCGACAAATTGGAGTTGTCCTGAATTTAGCTTGAAAGCCAACGGCCCTCCAGTGTGGGAGAAGGGGGAAGTCTATTTCCCACTCCTTCCAGAATCCATGGAGTGGTGAACGCTCTTTCTGCTGAAGACAACTTCGTTTTTTCCAAGCCGGCTGCCGATGAGGCGTCCATGCCGAGCGCCAAGCGAGCGACATCCTTTGCCTCCACTTTGAGGTTGAGCCAGAGGAGACGCAGACTTCGGGCCAGCACGCCGAGGGCAAAAAAAGCAAGGAAACATTTAAAGGCATATTTTGGATGCCACAAATCAATGCATGGGCATTAAGAAGTCCCGTAAGCATTGATGCCTTTTGCTGCTTCGATCTGACAGCTTTCATGCATTGGTTCAGAGTTCTGATTTTCAGCAGAATCAATAGTTGGCAGGCACAGGTGTCGGGGATGTCATGTTCCAGGCAGGACAAAGTACGGTGGGCAGTGGATTTCTTGAACTGTCAAGATGGAACCTCCAGTTCGTCCCAGGTTTCACTGCAGGAACCTTCAACTCGCCGAAAGCTGACAGGCAGACTATTTGACTATTTCTTGAAAGAGTTGGCCTTGGGCAAATACGCGATGCCAGCAGTTGGGACTTTGTTTGGTCTGAGGCAGGATTCCGGGTTAGGTTTGCTGACTCGCTGACTTTGCAGCAATTATTCGTTTCAAGAGCCCATCATCAAGAAATGGCAGAGATTCTGACGAGAAGGCCTTGAATCTGCACCGCCATAAGCAGGTCGTGAGTGGTTCATAAGCAGGTCGTGAAACCCAGGTGGGCATCACAGGAACTTGAACATGTATTTTAACGATCGATTTCCTCCCTTCTGAGGTTGATGCCCTCCACATAAGCATGACTTCTTTGGGTCAGCTCGATATTTAAGAGCGTGGAGTGATGGAGGTGCAGATGGCAGAGGACAAGACTTTGATACCCCTTGCGAAGATGTTTGTGGAGGAGGTGCAATGCTTTGATGCACAGTATCGGCTAGAATGTCTTCAAGTTGAGGACAGATAATTTGTGATAAGGAAAGTGTGTGAACATGTATGAAATGGACTTTGCCTGAATATGAACTCCAGTCTCAGAACATTTCAGAACATTTTGTCCAATGTCGTGGTCACAGAGTCAGTACTGTTTTGCCACGTATGAGAATGGTTATTTGGAGTGTCGAGAGCAAATCACGAAAGCGACTTAGCTAGCTGAGTATGTTCTTGCTTACTTGAGGCCTGAGACCAACAGAGTGATTTTCCACTAGAACCCCTCCAAGACAACCCTAAGTTGGCCGTTTCGTTCAAGCATCGTTGATGCTCAGCGGCGACAAGTAGCATCAATAAATAACCTTAAGCTGGGCGTTACTGTTAAGCATCGTTGATTCATTGAACTAGATTACATAGTGCTGAGAGTGTTGTACTTTTGCAACAGATTGCCCTAGCTCTTGTTTATCGCTGCAGGCCTCAAGTGTATGTGTCGCTGTGCCAGGTTTGCAGCTGTCGCGATGGTTGATGTCCCCAATGCAAGAACATTGCTTTGCGCCCACAGAGGCTAACATTTGCTGAGGAGATTGAACGTTTTTTTGTTTTGACAGTCCAGTAGCCTACCCCTGTGCTTGCGAGTCCAAGTTGGGTAGCAGTACAGACATGTACAGCGATATGTTCAATACCGGCTTTTCAGGTGGACCTACAAATTACGTTTTTGATTTTTGATTATAACTCTTTCCAAGTCGCCTCAAGATTTTGCAAAACTTTGGCTTGTGCGTTCCTGCGGCTGCAAGTCTCAAGTTCTACCCTTCTTGTCCTTCGCAAGCAAGTACCCTTTCCGCTTGCGTTCTCTACAAGCCGAACCCCTTGCATTTTGGCTGCAGTTGAAGCAAGCGTGATAAGGACATTGACCTAGAGGAAAGTGGAACCAAGGGGAAGTTTCAATTCCTCTACCTATCCTTGCTGCCGCATGGGATTTTGTGTTTTTTCATCAGCTGGAGTTGGCAAGTATCGGTGGAAGTGGGGCTTTCAACTTGCTTGATGTTAACACATTTGCACAAGTTGACTTGGCAAAGGTACTGTGTAGCACAAAGAAGAAATGGTCGACTCCAAGGCCAGACACCGTTTCAGCTTGAGGCAAGTCTGTCTAGCTTGAAATTTGCTGGGAAGTGGGATGCTTGCTGAAGCGTGCCAAGTGGGCTCCCACGGAAATTCCACCATTCGGGCCCTTAAGCACAACGCCTTTATAACTTTTTGTGAGCGGTTTATCAAATCTCTACGAGAGGTTGGTTGGAATGACGGCGTCCTTGTGGTGTCCGGATCTTTGTCTAAACCGTTGCAACCCGCATTTGTGGCTTGTGGGAGAGCTGTCCTAGTTTGGGGATCGTGGCTGTTTGAACAAAGGGCATTCATTGTGTACTAGTAAAGTAAAGTTGACCAAGGTCATTGCTCTACATGTGTATCGACATCCAATACGAATGGGATGGCTTTGCAAGCTGCCGACGTCCCATCCACAAATGGCTCCTGTTGAGCTATGGCTTGGTTGTGATGTCAAGACTGGTCCATATAGCGGGTGCTCTCATGCCGCGGACTCAATGAGATTTGGCAACCAACCTGTCCATCATTGGTGGCTTGCTCTAGGTCCCACAACGACAGCGAGTTCATGCTTTTGACTGAGAGCAATTGAATTGGAATGCCCGAGAGTGTAGGAGCTCTTTTTGTGGCTGTACTCGTTTGCGATCTGCAAGATTTGTACCCAATTTCTCAATTCCGAACCTCAGCGGTGTCTAGGCTGAACCTTCGCCAGAAGAGTGCAATTGTGCGGCTTCTTCTTTCCATGATGTGGCTGGTGCCTCTCCACTAGGATATGATGGGAAACTTCCTTGGCCACGCAACTACCCGTCAGCTTCGAAAGCGACACACTGCTTTGGCTGCTTGGGCTGATGCTACACGCTTGGCACAGCACAGGTGATCTTGCCGGCCTTCACAATCTGGTCCATGGCAGCAAGCTGAGAAGACACAAACTGCTCTGTGTCCGAAACCTCTCGGGGACTCCGGGACTCCTGGACTCCTCTTCTACATTCGAGGTGGGCAGTGCATGGGTGTGGGAGGTGATGAACCACACTCCTCAGTGCCTTCCAGGTGGTGCTCACTTTTGGCCAGCGCCTTTGTGAGAAGAGTAGACGTGACGAATTAAGTGACAGCATGAGTGATCAACATGTTCCAGAAGTTCCGGAGTGCTCCTGGGATTCAGGTTCTTGATCGTGTGGCAGGCCAAAATAAACGTCCTTTTCTTCACATTTCCTGTTTGGGCTCGAAACCAGGCACTGAGTTATTTATGGATCATTGTCCACTGTGGCTTGGGCATCATGGCGTGGTGCCCGAGAGTCACCAGAGACATCTAGAGACCCCCTATGCTTCAAGCAATGGCAGGTATTTGGAGCGAAGACTACTCCGAGCAGAAGGAGACTTGCGGCAATTGGAGGCTTGGAGTCCTAACACGCCCAAGCCACGCAGTGTCATCACAGCCAACAAACTTGCAACAAAGTGTGAAGCGTTGTTTTGCATTTTTTTCATGTTATCATTTCTTTATTTATTTCCAAACATTTTCTGGTGCTTTTCTCTTTTCTCTTTAGGATCAAGATTTGCTGTCAAGATGGGGACAAGTCTGGAGCTCATGCTTGGACACGGCCTGATGCGGGACAATTCACAGCTGTTCTCAACGGCTTCGTTCTCCAAGGTGAGTCGCTTGCAGAGCTACACCTCTGTCCCAGGTCTTGGTGACCGGGAAGGAGGACTGAAAGCTAAAGAGGCGGGTGAGACGCGCGCGCGCGTGAGTGCTCGTGGGAGCAGTTACGCTGGTCGGGTTCGCTTCTTACGCAGTGTTTTTTGCCCACCAAACTGCGAGATTGCCGCCTTACCTGGCCTCATGGTGGTGGACAGTCCTATGGCTATGGAGGACACAGAGACACAGATTGACACCAAAGATTGAAACTCACACAGACATAGACCCAAGGATTCTTAGACAAACCTAACAAACTCAATTGACATTTGCAATGGCCCTCTGGATAAATATCTTTTACCTTATCCTCCAACATTCCGTGACCAGACGTTAGCTCAACTTCCTCAACTACGACGAGCAGAATTCAATTGAATTCATCAGCTACTCGGAGTGTTTCCACCGATCCCAGTTCGGGGGCGCTGGCCCACGGAGCTTTGAAGGACTGTCCAATCTGTCTCACGGAGCTTTGCGCTGGCGAGAGCGTCGGCCCCTCAGCTGTTCTACTCGATGTTGCACGTCGAGCACGACGTCGTGTTTTTGCAAAAGGAAAAAGGAAGGAAGGGAAGGGACGGGAAGGAAAGGGAGGAAGGAAGGAAGGAAGAGAAGAGAAGAGAAGAGAAGAGAAGAGGAAAGGCTGGAAAGGTCCATTCAACAAAACAAGAGCCGTTGTGCTACTAGTAGCTACTGGCAGGTTGCCTCTCTATTGGAGTCACTTCCTCACAGTTTTTTCGCTGGGAGTCCAAGGCGCGCAAGCTCAGTCTTTGCGGTCACACCATCCATCGCTCCTGCATCGACCTTTGGCTGTTCCGCCGAGCGGACTGCCCACTCTGCAAGACCGAGGCCAAGAACGTGAGGTCGACTCGGTGTTGTGCAGAAGCGGTTTTCCTTTTTGGGTGAGTGTGGAGGGGTTTGAACATTCCAAAAGGCTACACCAAGGGCCCCTGCCCGAGTTGTGTCTGTCATTGAGGAATTTTCTGCACTTGTTTGGACAGCCTGTCAGGCTAATCTGGCTAAGGTGCTCAAAACGTGACATGTTTAAAAAGGAGATGCAGCACTGTCACTCTGACCTAAAAACAATTGCCCTGCTCAACCTTCCTACGGTGCAGGTGAAGACCTGTGACAAGGTGGAGACCCGTGACAAGTCTGCCGAGGCCGCGCCACTCCAGAATGATTGGAAGCAGCGGCTGAGACGTTCTGGTTGTTGTGTTGTAGCGGCTGAGACGTTCTTCCAACTCAATTGATCTCAAAATCTCTGTGCAGGAGTCGTCCTGGAATGTGTGAGGGCACCGAACATCAAACTCTGTCTCACCACCTGGTGGGCACGTTTTTTTGCTTGCTTGGCCACCTCACATTCCGTTCGTCTGGGATTTTGGGCGTGCCCTGCTGGGGAGCCGATCCAAAACGCGGCTGTTTGCTGTCCAACTTGGGAATGTTGGGTCTGCGGAGTCCACAGTCGACATTGGACTTGGACTTGTCCCTTTTCTTGGCCCAAGCTCCAAAATGACACCAAAGTTTGATATATTTTCCTACGATTTCAAGTCCTTTCCCCATAGCACAATGCGAGTCTGAACACAGGGGTTCAGATTTCTTATTTTGCTCGCTTCACCTTGCAATTTCCTAATTTAAGGGCTCAGATCTTCAGAGTGCGCTTTCTAAAGCAGCAAGCATTTTTAGCTGGGAAAAGATCCTATCGACTCTACAGGTTTTCCGAAAGCTTTTCTATTCAGAGATTGTTCCTCCATGGGCCTTGCGGCCAAGCTGGCCCGATCCGAGCTATCCTTATCGCAGCAGAGGTGGTTCTTTTCCGAGCAGGCAGGGGGGTTGGTTGGGCATTTTCCTTTGGACTTTCATCCACCCACACAACTGAGCCAGCTTAGCAGCTGGCTCTGTCGGACAATGTTGGACTCGGTTCAAGTGGAGCCATGGCCAATTCTTCTCCTGCGAAAGTCCTTTGAGGTCTTGCCTATGTTCATACCTTCCGATTTTCTCTCGTCTGACCAGCTAGTCCCGTGAAGCACTGCGAGTGACAGGCTTTGCAGGAGCTTATCGCCTTGGGTTTCATGTCATTCATGTCTGCTTGAGGCCGCCAAATTTCTGTCGTCCAATCGCCAAGGCTGGCTCTCTCTCCAGGGCCGTGCAGAGTGCAGAGATCTTTTTTGCAAATTTATATAAATAAAGGAAGCGTTCTGCGCCAGGAGCTCCTGTTGGCCCACAAGATGTCACGCTAGAGCCGTTAGGTGTGAGTCTCACGAAGGGGCCGTTGGCCGTTGGTGCGGATTGAGGATTGGCCGACTGCTGATGCAATGCAACGGTTTCCTTCTTGACCCGACAAGATCTTACAAGCTTAAGCTCGAATCATTGCAGATAATCTCTTCCGAGTCTTGCTTGTGCGGCTGATTTGTTGGAGGCCTTGGACCTGTGTCTCCAAATGCTCGTGATCTCTTGAGGAGCAGATCTTTGGGAATTAACGTCTTTGAAACATCACATGGAGCAGATTGAGGTCTCTTGAGCTTCAGTCTTGACTGACCCAAATCTTGTAGACATGACCAGACCCATAAAGAAGCTGCCCAACCCATTACGATCATTTCGATCGATCGTCCATTTTTGAACACGTGCACATGTTTGTTTTCCAGATTCTTTTTCCCCAGATATCTGCAAACTATATGGGTTCTCACTTCTCAATGGTGTGGTGTGGCTATGGATCGGCGTTTCGTTTTGCCGATGCTGGTGCTGGATCGGCTTTTTGTTTGGGCATGCTGGTGCGGCGTTGTGAGCTCTCTAAGTTCTTGGCGCCACATGTCCTTTCAAGTCCAACCTTGCAGCCGCTTGAGTTGGTGACCAGGGAGGTTTCTCAGACTATGTCTCCTGCTTTTTGAGACACATTTTTTGTGGGTATCTTGTCAGTAACTGGCAAAAGGATGTAAAGAATATTGAGTCGAGTCTAATGGCCTTACCCAAAACCTGGTGGTGGTGGTGGTGGTGGTGGTGGTATGAAGTTTCTGCTCTCCAAGAGCAAAACCCAAAAGAGTGAACAATTATCCCGGCAAGAGACCCCAAACAGTGTGTGTCTAGGCGCATTGGGGTCCAGAGAGGTGATGGTGGTGATGAAGTGAAGGTGGGTGTGAGTGAGTGTGGGTGAGAGGGAGTGTGAGTGTGAGTGAGTGTGGGAGAGTGAGTGTGAGTGCGAGTGTGAGTGAGAGTGAGTGTGGGTGAGAGTGAGAGTGAGAGTGAGTGTGAGTGTAAGTGAGCGTGAGTGAGAGTGAAGGTGGGTGTTAGTGAGTGTGGGTGAGAGTGAGAGTGAGAGTGTGAGTGAGAGTGGGAGAGTGAGCGTGAGTGCGAGTTTGAGTGAGAGTGAGTGTGGGTGAGAGTAAGTGTGCTTGAGAGTGAGAGTGTGAGGGAGTGTGAGTGTGAGTGAGAGTCGCAGACCGAGTGAGACTGAAGGTGGGAGTGAGTGTGGGTGAGGGAGAGTGAGTGTGAGTGAGAGTGAGAGAGTGAGTGTGAGTGAGTGTGTGAGGGAGTGCGAGTGTGAGTGAGAGTGAGTGTGAGTGGGAGTGAGTGTGGATGAGAATGAGTGTGAGTGAGAGTGAGTGAGTGTGAGTGCGAGCGCGGGTGAGAGTGGGAGAGTGAGTGTGAGTGCGAGTGTGTGTGTGTGTCACCCTTGGAGTCATAGGGATGCCTTTGCATTTGTTTTACCGCAGGGGAACCGGGCACTCTGTGACTGACCCAGTTCAACGAAGCTAGGTCACAGAGTGGGATATTCGGACTGATCATCCGAACGTACCTGCGATCTTCCGATTTGTCTGCATGGCATGAGGCTAAGCCCAGAACCTCAAAGACTCGATACTTCACGTTGCCGCAGTCACGCACGGAACGCCGTCACTTCGACCTGATCGCCGACCTCGCCCTTGTGCTTTGGGCCTCTTTTCCTTTTAAGACCTCCAGGCTCCGATGGTCCCTACCGGTATTCTTAGGAATTGGAACCCTAGGCCGGCGTGTGGCACCGCATTCACATCAGTACGCATATCCATGAGTGTGTTTGGCTTCGTGCCAACCCGGGATGAGCCCGCAGAGTGCCTCCCGTGGACCCGTCGAACGGGTGTACGTCCATGTTCCCCCGGCTTTGGGAACGCAGATGTCCACAGCGGACAGTAAATGGCTAATGCCGTACGTCCGATGATTTATGTCTCATTTTTGGAATTCCAAGCTGGCTCATGCCTTTACGTGACCGCAGCGGTCGAAGCAGCCAGCCATTTCGGCAAGGCACAAGGTGACCAGAGCGGTCAAAGCCAGTTTTAGGTTCATTGGAACCTGTTGGAGCCTTAGTTTTTCAGTTGATCCTCCTCCTCTCGCCATGTTCCCTTCTCCAGCTGGCCTCAACCCCGTGGACGGCGTCACCGTGGACGGCGTCACGATGAGAGCCCAGACTATCCTACATCGAGAAATTCTTCATCTACATGGTTTGTTGATTCTCGCCATCTCCCTTCTTCGCACCCGTTTCGCCATTCTCAACCCCTCCTTCATGGACTACATCACCTCACCGCACATTCAGCTACAAATTCGAGGTCTTGATTCTGCGATTCGGCAAGCGACTCAGGCCATCCACAACGGAGTGCACTATGTCAACGAACTTCTCACCACTTTTGGGATGATGCACACCGTGAACTGTGACAACACTCAGGTTGATGCTGAATTACGCGGATGTTCGACCTTTCCTGACCCTCGTCTTCCTTCTTTTCCCATGATTTCTACCTCTCCTCGGGGCCCGGCTACGACGCGGAGTACACCATCTACCAGTTCCTTTCCGGGCACCTCTACGATTCCTCCGCCGAGAACCCCATCTACTTTACGTCCACGTCGTCCAGTACTCAATCGATCCAGTACAGCTTCACCACGGTCCCGGTCTCACTCTCGTTCGACTCCTAGGAATCTCTAGGTTGTCTTTCGCTTATTCTTTCACCTTGAGTCCAAAAACGCCTTTTACTCTTTCTACCCAGTTGTTTTTCTGACTTACTCCATGATTGATTCCTTTGACTTTACTCTTTTGGTTCTACCTGGCTCACAGCGTCCCCAAGATCTATACCCCTCTACTTGAGCTCACCTCCATCGCTTCATTGCCATGTCGCTGCCACCTTCGACGACATCTACTCGACCTACGGACGTGACTTCACATTCCGGCCTACCCGCTGCGGCTCAGGAAGTGCTTCATCGTGAACTACTTCATCTACACTCTTCCCTACATTTGAGCCTACTGATCCTACGTGGACCTTTTGACTCTGTCACTCCATCCGTTGTGGACACGATTACATGCCCTCGTATCAGTGCCAATCTCCGTGCCCTTGAGAATTGCCT